AGCTGTTCACCTAACTAACTACACTGCTCGAAATCGACCACAATCACGTTTGAAATGGCAGCTTTTCACAAGAGACGTGTTTTCAACTAAAGAATTAAAGTGCCCACTCTTAATTTTGTAATTCAACCTAATATTTTAGCCACTACATTATTTAATCACGTATTAGTTAACTTTTCTTGCTATTTTTTCGCTCCCCACTAAAAGAATAAAATATTTTTTATCACAAACTTATCAGCTTACATCGAATAAACCGTAAATGATATGGGAAGGAAGGCCCGAGGACACAAAAGTGTCAGCAAATCTACTGATATCGAGTGCTTCGGCGTCCATCACATCGAACATCGAAGGCCAGTTTATCTTATTGAGATTTAAGGACTGGTAATTATTATTAGAAAAAACTAACTCATAAGAATTATCAATTACATTCTACAGATTGTAGTAATCATAGATGGCGAGTCTTTTTCTTTACATAATGTAACTGATGTAACTGTCTTGTTTTTTCATCCAGCCTCCATGAGATGGAAGACGTCATTATACTAATACCCTCCCAGCAAAATTGATGTTTTCTTCAAACGCATTTCTCCATTCATGAAGGAAGTGCATTCTAATTTCGTTACTTATGACTATCAATGACATTCTGTTTTCTATGCAGCCTGTTTTCCCATATACTAAACGCATACATTTAGGGATAAAGAAGTATGAGGAAGTAGTTATTTTTGGTCACTTAAGCATTGCTTCCTCGAGATATCTTTAATTTGAACTACTAATTTGAGATTGTTGAATGTTTTATTTTTAGTCTCCATATATCAGTTGCATAGCATGTCTCAAAAATACTAGAAAATCGTATACATTCAAATATAAGTGTATTATAATAACTACTATTAGAAATAACCGTTTATCAAAACCTAAATAAATGCAACACAGTAGAGTAACAATACCAAATACTCAGCTCCTTATGATGCTTGTTGTTGGTAGCTTTAGACGCATTTTATAATACTAATTTGTTACAGTAAGAGGTAACATTCCTAATACTGTACCATGTATGCAATTATTATTGAGAAAAGTGAGCGAAGCGAGCAAAGAACTGGAAAACGGATTAATGCCATTGAGCATAATTTACTACAAAATGAATAACCAACTACTGTAGACTGTAGCACTATTGACTTTAGATACTCCAAATAGGCATTTAATTTATGTTAACCAAATATACCATTGACGTTGGATACTGCAAGTAGATTTATCATTTATGTAAACCAGATGACCATTTACTTTGTATATTGATGGAGACAACTCTTTTACGTGAAACAGGTGCAGCATTGACTTAGGAAAAGTATAAGATTAATATACTTGCTCCGCCCAATATTGCAAGCAGACAACTGCATTGTACACCAAGTTATTAAATATACAGTTTTAGAGATATACCTCTTAAAACATACAGCATTGTAAATCCTTTGTTACCCATGTTGAGACATCATGCATTCCAATCAAACCATTGACTGAAAGACTAATAGAAACCCGAGATGCAGTCCAACAACGTCCGCAACTAGTTTCTCCATTGTAGCACTTGGTTTGGAGGCCAACAACGCTGGACGGAGCAGAGTCGCCAATTTGGACGCCAGAAAGGTCCCGACTCGGAATGAAAGTAGTCTGGAGCTTAGAGAAAGTATTGGCCTTTCTTGAACACCGCCTTTCGGCTGCTTTCTAACAATCGGATGATTTAGTTATTGTTGCAGCGGTAACAATAAGTCGTTAGATGGTAGTTGCCAGTCGTTGATCTTCGGCGGTGTATGGGTTTAGAGATTTGATTCTGTTAGTTACTGTATGCACCTGTTCAATAGTAACGGAAGATATACAAGTTTTTACAATTGAGTTTCAAATAGCAGGTTCTGGCTTCGCTGATCTTAGTGAGTAACAAAGCTGTGATTTCATTCATTCTACACTCATCCATGTTTCCTTACTCGTCTTCAAGTTCAAATAGATGCCCTTGTACGGTTATGTCGGTTTGTCGGTTATGAATTAATCTAACCTAACGTAATCCCACTTAAAGTAAAGCATACTATATATATTTCCTACTGACATGACATGGAATGGACCAGGAAAACACCCTTCTGAGGCTTTTTTACGTGATACGGTCTGTAGGTTTTCTAGTTTTCAGAAATCCCCCTATGCTCAAAAAGACAAATACCGCCAGTCTTGGTATAATTTGCAAGTAATATTATCCTTTACTTGCGTGTTTGTTAATATATCTTAAAAAAAATTAAATCCTTACCACATGGTCTTTGTTTTCTAAACACCAGTTTTTATATAATTTTTATCTCTATGATAAAATCGTAAAATCGTGAGATAGTATCGTAAGGAGTCATTTTTGTACATATAGTATTAGTGATAAAGTAATAATTATAGTATTACACGTAACTTAATCTGAGGAAATTGTTAGAATTACAGATGTCTATACTCGTACATAATCATAAATACTGTTGTGAAAAAATAATGAAGACTAAACTAGTTATAGCAATATAAAACAAATACCAATACATTTTAACCAAACAAAAACAAATAAATAAACAAGAAGAAAACGATGACATCAGATGACACGAAGAAAGGACTCGTTGCCTTGCCCGAAGACATCACACACGCACATTTTACAAAACCTACGTTTCAGTTTTTTCTGTAACAAAAAATAATATGTACTATTACTGAATTATCATAAATGTTATCATCCATGCTAATGTATGCCTATTAAATAAAACTTCCAAAATAATTACACATGGATTTTTTTCGAGCCTACTAAATATCTTAAACGCCCTGAAACCAATCCTATCTAAACTACAACGTCTCTTATTTATACCATATTGTTCATGAATACAACTGAAATTGGTTTTCGATTCTGTTACGAAGTTCCAAATTTAATCATTCCGGGCAAGCATTGAGACCGTCGGAAACTAAATATTCCTTCAAAGTTGTCTGGAAAGTTCCCTCTTACACAATAGCTTTGATTGGCAGTCTGTTAGACTTGTGTTTACGAGGAAATACACCCAGATAACGCATACTGTTAAAGTTATTAGGCCGCTCTACAATATGAATATTCATCTGTTGCAACAACTACAGTCACTCTCTGAACCTGTTTGTTCTCTACGTTTTCCACTTATTCAGTTGTAAAATAAGTTTCAGCCATTGTTTTGTTTCCGCATGAGGTTTTGCTTTTGACAAAACACTTATGTATTTTAAAATTGTTAGATATTTTATGTTTATTAATTTTTGTTTGAAGTAAATCTCAATCTCCTGGTGATACAAAGAAATTTTAATAAACACCAAAAACTAATTCATGCTCAAGAGATTCTATTCGCATGCATTTATTAAAAAAACTTTCACTCCTTTTAAACTGAATTTCGGAAAGTGGTTATTCTTGTTTTATTTACATTCGTTCCAATCCTATAAAAGTGTTATGGTGCTATCTGACAAAATTATATTGTGTACTTGTCCTCATCTAGTCTCTTTTCTTTAATACCTTCCGTAGTATTTCCTTTTGCTTTCCTCATATCGGTTTCTGCTTCGGATCTCTGTTTAATAACTATCGTTTTTACGATAGAAACTGAAACTATCGTCTCTCTCAGTTTCTGCTCAGTATCCACAATTCCTATCTCTATCTAAAATTCACTGTTTTGGATACTTGTGTATCTTAAAGTTTCTGTCAAGTACACATTATCCTTCTTTCCAGTGCGTTATTATAAAAGAAAACCTGTTTTCTTTTTTTTTTCTTTTACTGTCCCGTTTCCACCATCCCTGACTCCCATAGGCCCCTACCTCTTCCAGTTTCTGAAGTTTTCACCCTCCCCCAGATTGTCCAAGTTTCCACTATACAGTAACTGTCCACTTTACCTATCCCAGGCTTTCCGTGATTCTGCAATCCATGTGTCTCTTAACCCTTTCAGTATCCGTCCCGTTTCCACAATTCCTGTCTCCCATTACTCTCCCAGTTTCTGCCTTGTCTCCACCATCCCTGTCCCCCATTCCTCTCCCAGTTTCTGTTACGTTTCCACAATTCCTGTCTCCCATTACTCTCCCAGTTTCTGCCTTGTCTCCACCATCCCTGTCCCCCATTCCTCTCCCAGTTTCTGTTACGTTTCCACAATTCCTGTCTCCCATTACTCTCCCAGTTTCTGACCCGTCTCCAACATCCCTGCCCCCATTCCCTTTACCAGTTCCTGAATGATCCAACCATTCCTGTCCCACATAGAGCACATGTACTCTTTCCCTCAGCACCACTCCCAGTATCCTCGCCCGGCACGTGTTACCTCACGGCTCACCTGCATTTCAAGCCCCGTTCATGCAACATGTGCGTGATTGCGTTTCACCGAGGCCGGAAAGAGTCCTCGCTCATTACCGGGGAGAGCTCGCGATAATATGATAATACTCTTTATACAATCAGCTGACCGAGAGCGACGGTCACAGCTGGAGTAGCGCCGCATAATCGCTAGTTAGTGTCCAGTTTGACAGATAACTCTGTGTTCTGCTCTCTCGCTAAGTGAGGAATCATCTTACTGTAATCTGATTATGTACGATGGTCATATTACAATTACAGCAGTACGATTACAGCAGTACTTTCTGCAACATTGAATAATTAATTGTTCTGATGTTTAATGCTTTCAGTAGTATATGTAATTGCGTGAAATCTACGCTATGTCAAAAAGAAAAAGATTTAAGTAAAATAAAATTATTGGATGAAATCAGGTAGGTACGTGTAAAACTATAGGTTCAAAACGGTACGATTTTTTTACTGACAGAGGTGTGTACAATTTAAATTGTATAGTGTTCATGATAATTCACCAGGAATTTCGCATAGAATTTGCGCTTGGTACCTATCCTGCGTGGTAGGACTACATATCCTGTCAATATGTCTTTTAAATTCGTTCAACACGTCAGTGTATTTTCTAATTTATATGTTCTACATCACTACCTATCTCTAATTATGTGTGTTTGATTAATTATGTATTTTACAGCTGGCCGGTGGAGCCGTTTTGACGGTCGGGGTTTGGCTTAACCTAGACAAGAAATCTTTCATCGCATTCACAAAAATTGTTGAGAGTGAAGCGCAAATTCCTGAGGTAAGTTTGCAAACACTTTGAGTAATTTAATCTGTGCATTTTTGAAACCAATAAATTTGCAGGTTCAAGTTCCAGCCAAGACTTAAGAAGTATGATTAAGGAGCTTGATCAAACTCTCCAAACTTTGATCAGCTTCAGTTTCAGTTTTGTTTCTGAACGTAGATTACCAGGCCTTCTGAACCCCTCCGTTTCCCTAATACATCTTTGATCATAACTTAAGTATCCAATGGCAACCGTCTTCTCCCCAAAAATCAATCAACCTTACCTGCAATGTTTGTTGTTGCTTGGTTTTGAATGATAAATGTTTTATGTTATTTATTTTTTAAAAGAAAACACAGGACGTACCGTACAGTAGAAGATTAAACAGTTTTTGAACAAAACATTTTATGTTATAATTTATTAAGAAATGTTAACTTGACTCTTAATAGAAAATTTAAATAATGCTATCATATCGTTTACAAATATTTAGTTACACTCATTGAAATAACGAGGTAGGGTTAAAAGTTGTGTAAGCCTTTGTGATATTATAGTTCGATGAATTTTGTAGCACGTCATCAATTAATTGACTGTAAAAAGCACACATCCTTAATTTGCAAAGAGCTTACCATCTTGCACACATTAATATATCTCCCAACGGTTCATAATAAAACGAATATTTCCTAAATATATCACTAACCTACTTACTGTATTTCTAAATGGATTTCCACACCAATCCCCCACATCATCATAATCAATACAACAACGGGCCAATCTGTTGAACCATTGCCAATCCATGACGAAACGTTTTCCTATCAGACACTTTATATAGTATAACGGTGTATTGACAGCGATGACAGCACACTAGGAGGCTGTGTATCCGTGTCCGCCATCAGCTGTTACCCGCCACGGCCCAGCTGATCTGATGAACACCGTCGTTGTAGCTGGAGGCAGTTTTGGCGGCACGCTATGTAGCTGTGCCACTCGTGAATGCACAATTGTTGAGATGCATCGTCAGTGTCAAGAGAGCAGAGAGCCCGCAGGTGTCTACCTCTCTCCATTGTTGTGCGGTTGTGATAAAAATAAAACTGAATGAGAATACGGGCTTTGAAACTTGTAACTGAAACTGACACATATGTTATATGTTTATTTATTAGAACGGAAAACCGGTCATTGATGTAAAACAGTTATTGCTTAAGATGGCCAATTCTTTATCACTAATAAGCCTAGGACATTTTCTTTTTTGATATGGATACAGAGGCAGCTTATTTTTCAGTGACAATAATTCAATAAGTAGGTAAATCTGTCGAATGCAAATGACTTTTAATGTCTTAAAAATGTCTTGTTTAATGTGCAAATGTATTTTAATGACTTAAGAAATGTGACATGATTTTGACAGGTTATCATAGATGTTTGCATCACTAGTTACCACATAAATAGGCAGTCACAAAAATATCAATTCAAATTGTTAAAATATCTTGTTTTAAACCCTTTATGTCTAAAATTCTTGTATGATAATTTTACCATTCTATGCACAGTTCACTGCAAGTTTTGATATATAAGAAAATTATAGTACAAACATACATCACGTCACGAATCGCAGTAAATGAAAATTGAAAATCAAAGTAACAATTTAATAATGTGGACAAAGTGTCACATTGATCTTTTAAAAACAGGTTGTTACCAAAAATACTTTTCAATAAAAAATAAAACGGTCTATTTTAATAAACTATACTCTAATTTTAATAACCTTGGAGTATTAAAATCCGATCCGCATAACTCGCCCGCATCAGTAAGGATTCATCTGTTTAACCTACTTAAGTCTGTTGTAAGATATAGCCCTGCAACTGATATGTCTTGTAGTAAACACTGATATCACTCGCAACACGCGATGTTTACGTTGTGTACCTTGCTTAACACGTCAACTACAAAGTGATGCGTCAATGCGTGACGTCATAGAGGGTAACGCCAGTTTACCTGGGCACTTAGAGGGACTAACTTAGTATATTGGTCATCAACTGTTTGAATTGTAAAATTTATTGATTAAATTTATTTTATTAAATCGGAAATTTCCGATTTTTTTATTAGAATATTGACCTCAACAGACAGACGACGACCACTTATAAAAACAGAGGTCTTGAAGCCACTATTACATTTCAAAATGCTACTAAATGCCTCTTGTGTTGTCGAAAGCTCACATGAAAAACCTTATATATTTGAGCAAATTTTAGCTTTCAGTGAAATTTGTTATGTTAATATTAACCATGAACGACGTCATTATACGTGTAAAACACGCCTACAGTCCAGTGGCACCAGAAAGTGCTGTACATTGTTGTGCAAAGCTTGTGTGTTATGCCACATCGTCCATCTTCTGTAATTACTCAGAAAAAGCATTGTATTGCCTACTCACACGCCTAACGTTGTATACGCCTAACAGTTGAGCCCTATTCTGTTCTGAAGAACATGTTTACTATTGTAGCCTTTTAAGGAGGCCACTTAGTAGTGTGACTAGACTTATCGGCAAGAAATTAAAACGGGTTTATTGATTTTTCCAGGCAATGTCCACTAATTAAAATTATAATTCTAACTACATCTCTATATCACAGCTAAAATCTTAGCCCACACAAGAGTCAGAAGAGTTTTGAGTGATAAGACTGTTTGATAACCCTTGAGCTCGGCTCTTGAATACTGAAGTAAGAATTTCATCCGTAAGGATAACCTAAAGCCAACTATTAATTCAAAAGATCATATATGAATTAGACACTCAAACAAAATCTACTGTCTAAAGTTCCTAAGTTTTGGTCACTGACATTAGGTTAGTTGTGACGCAAAGTATTTTAGTGTCACAATGTTTTTTTGTTAGTTTGACTCCAGAATATAGATTCTGCCGTTTGGTTAAAATGTTAGCGTATTCTGGAGGAATCTGTAATTTATATCAGAGCACTCGGACGATGGCTCAATATTGGACTACATTCACTATAATTCTACATTAAAACTACTTATACTATATTGCTATTGCTATCATGGATTGGAGTATCTAGTGGTCTCCATTGTAAAATTAGTTGGACCAACATATTCAATTTAAAAATAGGGCGAACATTGAAATCCCTAATTCCCTAATATTAAGGACTCGTTTTTCATTTTGAAAATCCCCATTACATCTTCAATTTAACGACTAAACCACCTCAGACACCGGCTAGAGGAGTTTTGGGCTGGCGATTAGCCGGTTTATTTTTCCCTCGAGTTGTTTGTAGAGTCAGCTGGTGGACTGAGGTTCTATAATTACAGTTCTCCAGTGGTCCACCTGCCACTACGAAGCATCCAATCAAATCCACTGCCTCCAGAATATCATCTGTTCCCGCGTTATTCTCGCCCTTGTCCGCTGCCCACTAGATCTACTGGCCGCTTATCTTTCAACAACATTCGTGCATCTCAATAAAAGCACCGTTCAGAGATCTTCGGGTGTGTTAAGAGAACTATTATACAAGGTGTGGTTATAATTTAGTTGAGTCGGAAATTTTTTATTTTGAAAGGAATTTGTTCTATCTAAAAATGTATTTAGATTAGCTAATATCCATTCTACTGGTTCATTAGACAAAGGGTAGACGAGTTAATAGTTAATTTAAAACTGAAATACGTAAAAAATCAAAATATTGGTTTATCAGAACCTATTAATACATATTTTGAGATGTATTATTTTAGCATACAGATCTTTCAGAAAAATCTACCTTGTTGAATTTTAATTCAATAAGTGATAAATAATCAGCTACACTCAGCTACAGAAAAAAGGCTCCACGCATATGAGAGTATCTTATTGCTTTTAGTAGAAGAGGTTTCTCAAAATTTAGTATAGTAAGTTCTCTTTGGTTCTCCTCACCCTTCTAAACAACCCTTTTTTGTTTTATGGATAAAAAACTTACAGCTTAAGTTAGGCTCCTTACTAACGGCTAATAACTCTGTCACAAAGCTAAATTATATTGGTGATTGATAGGCTTGAACCTGGGTGTCTACAACATCTACAAGTCCGCGTTCTAGCCACTTAGACCAGCAGCGATCCTTTAACAACTTATAACTGTCAATGATGAAGAAAACCGCAACAACAATTTAAGCTTTATGTTGTTTCAAAATTATAGACCACACTGCGTAAAGTTTAAACCGTCTCTGCAAATAGCTGTAAACACATCAGAATACGACAGCATAAGATCAAGCAACGGTGGTGTAGCAATTGTTTGGTTCATGGTTCAAATAGGAAACAACACTGACGTAAACTCTCTCTCTGGTCCTAGTTTAGTTACGGTACGCATTTTAGCCACCCGCGCCAGCTGACATGCTTTCACTTTGTTGTAAAAACTGACTAAAATGTATAAAAGAAGTGGACGTGATGTGAATGGTTATATTTGACATTAATGTTAGGTATCGTAAGTGGAAAAGCTTGGTGAAGCACGTATCTATGGTTTTTGAGGCTCAGACCTAATTTATGGTGTAAACCTTTTTGACTCTGTTGTCACGGGAAGGTACCAATTCGCTCTTAACAAAGTGTCTATACTCCTTTTATCTATGGTGTGAGGACGATTGAAAGCTAAGTTACAGTTAACGAACAAGTGTAAATATAGTAGAATCTTCTTGAGATTACCTGGTCGCGTAGCTTAAACCATAGACTAAGGGGGAGTATGTTTTGTCTATGGTTAAACCATCGAGCACATGTGTCCTAAACATATATTATGTGCTTGATGAGTTGAACTGTCCGAAAATACTGGTTTCGGGAGAGTTTCAGTAATCTATCTTCGGGACAAGAAGGTTGAATTGTAGCGTAGCTGCCCTGAAGATGGATTTGAATTATCCAATGATCTATTCCCGAAGATTTCAGCAACGCTTTCGAAACGTCGGCTAATATTTTTGCCAATCATACGACGGGTCATCTCCAAAAGACAGAGAGCCTACCCTGTAGTTGCAACGGTTAACAACAGGCTCTTTCTCCAACATTCGAACATTTTTTATTCCAAACATAAAAATCTTTGTAGCTT